AATTACATTTCCAGTTTATAACATATTTGACATTTTAGATTCGGCCAGATTGCATGTGTAGTTTATATTTGCAATTTAATGTTTGTAGTTCAAATATTACATGTTTGTAGTTCATTAGGGCAGCCTGTTTTATAGCAACTTTTTGGCAAGTTATTGTCATTTTAGTTAGACCAAATGGGTATGTTTTACATTTGTACTAATAATCAAATTTGTATAATTTATATGCCCATATTTTCTGTCCAAGCATGTTTTATTAGCATGAGTATATGAGCATGAGTATCTTAGTCTGAGCATGAAAATGTTATATTTTTCTGTTAACTAGAGCATGTTGTTGTGTTAATCTGATCATGTTTTCATTCTATAAAATTTATCTGCCTTTTTCTTCTGTTAAACTGAGAAAATTGGTTTGTTTTACATTGGTACTAATGAGCAAAATTGTATATTTTTTATGCCCTTATTTTCTGTCTAAGCATGTTTTATTAGCATGAGTATGATATGTTCCGAACATGAGTGTCTTATTTTGAGCGTGATTATGTTATATTTTTCTGTTAACCGGAGCATGCTTTTATTGTTAAGTTGAGTAGGTTACCAAATGGGCTCTAAAATTGAAACTATGACTTATATATATTCTCTCGCAATGTGTTTGCTATATTGTTATACGAAGAGTGTTGCCTACTTGCCTGCCGCAACCATGGTGTCAAGGACAAGAGAATAACAGCAGGTTACTACACGCCAATGATTTATTGGAACATATACACATTCATTTTAAACACACAGTAAATAATTATAATCACCACAAAAGTCCAAATAGTCTCGATCCAGCAAATATAAAATAATGCCATGAATAAAACAAAAAAATATACTGCAAATAATTTTAAATAATCAATTTTACTAGGTTAGTGAAGTTTCTCTTGCTTTTATAGTACTGTATTTATTTACACTTTTACAGTATTCCAAATCGTGCAATTCATCTTTTGTACACTCCTTCACGAACACTTCTTGTTTTTTTACTTCTTTTGTTCTTTTACTTCTTTTGTATTTTTTACTTCTTTGGCCTTTCCTATTTCACGTGATGTTTTGTTTTATGTGATTTAAACTCTCGACCCATCAATTCCTGATACCTGTTCATTAGTAAAAAATAAATCATTGACAAAATTAATAATAAGACAAAACTCACAAAAGTGATACTTAGGAAGTGTAGAGAAAATGGATTGTGGTAGCTAGACTTTTTTAATCTCATGGACTTTTAAAAAAATCAATGAACTTTTAAACCTATAATTTTTTATGAATGAATTCTATTGACTTCTAAATTAATGGATAAGTTTATAGACTTTCAAAAAGTCCATAGGCTTTTAAATCTGGACCGCTATTATCGGTCGTCAAAATTTTCACCTTGATCGCCGCTACCGATCTACCTGTCCGCCTCCATCACCAGAGCTCGCCGCCGCTGACATCGGACTATTCCACTACCAACAAATTGACTTTGGTTGTGCAAAGAAACTATGAGCTGTTAATTATATTAATTAATTAAATTAGGGGTAGGAATGTAATATTTACTACTATTTAAGGGAAATCAAACATATGATTGTACTTTGGGGGAAATGCTATGTTTTAGTCCTATCGTGGCTAATTTCCTTTGTATAATATGATAAGAAATAATTAAATAAATAAATGAAACAAATGTAATTCATATAGCAATATATGCAGAGTTCTACAAGAATAAATGAAGTATAAGAATTCAAATTTATTTTTATTAAAAAGAAAACTCAAAGTTTCGAGAATGCTCAACAATCTCGGTTTATTTATGGTCAATTGTTATATTACACAATTCAATGAGTAAGAACATTGATAATTACACAAGTGTTACACTCATTGATGCTACATGTGGTATGTAGATGCAATTGAGTTTTTCTTCTTAATAATTGTTTTCTTTTCGTTTTTAGCTTGTTAAATTTTGTATACATGTTTACGGTTATATATTTATTAATATTAAATAATACTTTTATGAGTTAGAGATTTAATGATGAAATATTTTTCTTAATGGTTAACTGACGACATACTAGAATTGTACCGATGTAACACTATCGATTCTTATATCGATTCTTCTAAAAACTTAGAGAACCAAATTGATATGGGATTAAAGGTTCTTCAAAGGGTTCATAATTTTCTTTCGGGATCTGAACTGATCTTACCCCTACATATTTCTTCATAAGACGATATATAAAATATCACTTTTTTAAGTGTATCTTGTGTATCAATATTAATGTAGAATCTCCCTTTCTACTTTATTTATCGTAAAATGATAAAAAAACTTTAATGTTCAAATCTTGATCGTGGTACCCACCTCCCGACCCGGCCGGTACTAGTTCAGGACTTATTAGCCCGGTTTGTGATCCCAAGTAAATAACAAGCCCGGCCGATAGGCTAAAATATAACATATACACTTTGAATAGACAAAAATATGAGCATTTTACATCTTGACCCAAATGTGACCTACTTAAATAATATTTTTATGATCACATTACTGTGTTTATCCCGATTTATTAGCCCGGTTTGTGATCCCGAGTAAATAACAAGCCCGGCCGATAGGCTAAAATATAACTTATACACTTTGAATAGACAAAAATATGACCACTTTACATCATGACCCAAATGTGACCTACTTAAAAACACCGATTAAACTACCATGTGGCTTCCTTCTTCGCCTAGCTCAAGCCGCATCGACTCAGAAGCAACCACCAATCAACCTCCTCCTCCGAGCAGCAATCATCGCCGCCTTCGCTCCTCTGGACGCCGCCATCGCCTCCTTTTCTCCTCTGGACATTGTCTTTGCCTCCTTCCTCTTTTGGACATCATCGTCGCTCCTCCGCTAGCTGTCTCCCTCGCGCCAATAACAGAGTAGCCGCATAGGTGGTTTCCCGTCGTCATCTCTCTGGACCTTGGTGTCGCCCTACCTTGCTTCTTTTTCTTCCGTTTCAGTCTGGCCTCGCCTTGACGAAGGCCAATCAGTGACGATGGTTAGGTCTAGATCTAAATCCATGGCGATGGCTATGGTTAGATCTGGGGTATTCGTACAATTGGTGTGGCTGTGGAAGGGTTGTGGGTTCGTCGTAGGCATCGGTGGGGGCTGATTGGGGCTTGTTTGGCACTACCAAGGTTGGAGGTATGCAGGATGAGGTTCGACCGGTGACGTCACCCACCAGAGCTGACGGTCTGTTGCGGTGCAGCAATGGTGTGTGGGGCTGGGGCTGGGGAGCTGTCTCGTAGGGATAGGTCTAGAATTGGGGATTGGGGAACACTGACAGGTTGGTGCGGCGGGATGGCCAAGACAGGGAGGCGGCTGTGGGTGTGGCAGGGGTGGCGGTGGATGTGGTAGGGGCGGTGGTGGATGTGGCCGGGGCTGGGAGGTGGGAGGGGGCTTGAGATGGGGGCAAGGGGCAGGGGGTAGGGGATGGGGTAGGGCTGTAGACGGTCTCACCCATAGCGGTGGTGTCGGCGGTGGTGGGGCGACGATTTTGGAGCGGAAACTATTAAAGTTGTTTTACATTTTGACCGAAAAAAGTTGCCGGAAAAGTTTTCAGGTGACACAGTGACACCTTTCCCGAGACAATGACATCTGAAAGTGGCATGAAAAACGGTAGTGACAAATTATAGTGACACAAAAAACTACAGTGACATGAAAAATGTGGTCGGCGATGGTGGTGGTGTATAGTTTCTCCGGAAAGGTTGCCGGAAAATTTTTCGACGGTTATAGTGACCACCAAAAGTGACATACAAATCTAATAGTGACACGCAATAGCGACATAAAAATCAGGCAGTGACATAAAAAAAACAGTGACATCATGTTTTTCTATATATGTGACCTTCTTGGTCACATTTTTGTCCTTTTATAAAAATGGTCACTTTTTGGAAATTAGCTTCAATTAGGTAATATTCAAGGAAAAAGCCCTAGACATAAAATGGAGTTACTATAAAAAAAATAGAATACCCTTGCAAAAAGAAAAATAGAAAACTATTAAAAAATCCACCTGGACAGCCACATTTGCAAATCCACGTGGTTATTTATCAGTTGAAATGCTTAATTAATCGTTTTTTCAAAGTTTGAGAACTCAATTGATTGATTTTAAAGTAAAATGATCTAATTGACTTTTTAGACTTAGTACGAGGACTTAACTGTTTTCTCTATTATTAAATAAATTGTCCTAAATGAAAATAATAATGTTTGTAAATTTCAAAATAGAAATGTCATATTTTTATCCATTGAATACGAATAATTATTGCCATATGTTGGCATTATCAGATTTTAAACATGCCAATATTTTCTAAGATTTAGAGTAATTACTCATATTTATTGCATAAGAACATGAGAGCCATATTTTGGAATTCTAAAATGTATGTACTTCTATTTCCGGAATTTTCTCATCTTTTCGCTAATATTGTTATTACTTCATTCAATTCACTAAGATTGTATGATCTCTTTTTTTGTCGATCTCACTAATATTATATCATACCAAATTTGATAAAACTATGTGAATGTGTGATACAAAATTAATCTTACTTTATTTTTATTTTATCAATTTAATAACAACAATATAAATTCATTTTTTTTAATTCACTGCTGTTTAGAAAATTATTTACACTAAATATTTGCAAGAAAAAACGTTAAATGTTACAACAATGGGTTGGCTGTCATTTCATTTTGAGGTTAGGAGCTTTACGTCATTTTGTTCTGAATCGACAAGAAAATTGATGAAGCAGAGTATTTGGCTTATCCTCAATCGATCACGTCACATTGCTCGTATCAAAATAATTAATTACCAATCACATTGCTACCGCATAAGGCTTCTCGATTTAGAAGGTTCAAAATTTTAAATATAATCTACATAATATACAAAATCCTTATTTATTTGAATAAAGATTCTTATCTTAGTATTTTTTTAAAACAAACATTAAATAGTACTACGTAATACTTATATGTAATTAAAATGAAATTGTTAATTACAATTGTGCAATCTCTTTATTACATATATAAGACTTAGTTACATTAATTAGCACAAAACCCTCTTACAATTTGGTACAAGCTTACATACTACTACCTTCATCCCTTAAAACTTTGTCAAATTTGACCGGCACGGAGAATAATAAAGTAAAAACTGTGTGGTTGATGTTTGTGCAGAGGAGAGAGAAATAACAGAAACCACAAAATAATTGATTAAAAACGAAAGTGACAAAGTTTTTTGGGACGTCTCAAAAAGGAAAGATGACAAAGTTTTAAGGGATGGAGGGAGTACTTTCTATTTCATACTTTATCATTAGTTTACTTCTTTTAATATATTCTCTTTCCTATCTTTTCATTTACCTTACACTCTATAATACTTCTACTATTTTCTTCTTAAAAACCACGAAAACCTAAGAAGACTATTATTTAAAAATGGTGGAAATATTAATATTGTACGTGTTTTATACTTTAGGATCTCATATTAAATTTTGAACCAGACCATTGAAATGTCAGAGCCGCCCCTGATTATTATTCTTCATTTAATTTAAAATTACATACATATTTCATTCCTCCATTTCATACATTCACCATCCTAACAAACCAATTCAGTCAATCGGTAAAGTCCAGGATGGCAAGAAAAATAACTCCATAATAAATAAAAGAAGAAAAAAAGAGGAACATATATAATGAATATATATAAATATATATATTGTAGGTGGCTATAATCATTCATGAATCATGACCATTATGACCATATACATATAGTTAAGTTGGTTTCAAGAATTCATGAATGGGTTGAACAAACAGTACTATGACTGATTCTTGTTTTGGATCCAAGCGGAGAAGGCTTGAAGTGTGTTCATATCGGCTCTATAATGCTTTTGAGTAAACTCGAGAAAGGTCGGCCATGTGAAATCCGGGTATAGTCTCGGGTTATTTGAGTCCACCAATTCCATGGGAGGCCTCACCACCTTGTCCTTCTTTGGGCACAAAAAAAATGCAAGTGATTTTCTTGCACTTATGTTGTTCACCACTGCCCTGTGCAAGCAACTTTTGTACCTCCCATTTGATAGCGCCTATACATAAACAACAATAAGAAAAAGTTAGCATAAACCGTCTCACGAGCGTCCCCCACACCTCGACTTGACAGATTGGTGGAAGAGTAAGTTACGGTTTCAAAAAAGTTTCTGAATGAGGTGGTTCAGGGACGGTGTGCACAAAGAGCCACCGCAATGAATGAAACCCGACAAATATCTTGAGACAATGGCTTATCACTTAAACAAAAGGTCAGGCGTACCATGAAAGTGTCGCCGATGTTAACTACGAAGGAGTTGGGAGTGGGCGGGACGGAGCGCCACTGGTTGTCGACAAACACTTGGAGGCCACTGACGGTGTCTTGGTGGAGGATGGTGAGCGATGTCGGGTCGCAATGTGGGCCGGTCCCCAAGGTCAACTCCGGTTTCTGGCACCGCGGGTAGTAGTTCAGTCTCATTATCGATTCGTTGTCTTCATAGAATTCTCTCAGGGTGTTCTTGTTCACTCCTAGGCTCATTGCCAACAGTTCTAGTATCCCTTCTGAAAGCTTGTTCATTGCATTGCAATATTCTTGATAGACCTTCCTGCAGGTCAACCCAAGTTCAATCAGTATGTTTATATGTAATGTTACAGTGATCATGAAGTTAAGCACATAGTTTAGGTAATTCGAAAAATTGAATGCAATTATATATAATATGTACCCTGTGTGTGAGAATTTTTCACCCAATGCTGATTGGAAATATTCTTGGACAGTGTTTTGAGAGTTTTTCTCCGCGGAGAAGCTGAAAGAGAATGTCTCCTTCCAGGGCAGCTTTGACGAGAACCGGCCCGTGAAGCTGCTCGCGTAGCCGCAATGCTCCCCGAGTTGCCTCTTAGCCTTTAGCTTCTCGGCGAGAGGCAACTCGAAGAAGTGGTCCATGCAGCGGTGGGCATCGGAGATGAGGTCCCCGTTGACACCGTGGTTGGAAACGAGGAAGAACCCGTGTTTCATGCACGACTCCCCTACGAGCCTAGAAGCTTCTTCCGCAGCGACAGGGTCCCCGGAGAGAAAGCCGGAGAGGTCAATGAGCGGAATGGCGAGGCGCGGGGCGTCGGAGGTGGGCTTCTCCTCGTCCGGCCATATGAACTGCGCGGGGATGTTTGGTTGGTGGTGGAAGACGGGGGCGTTCAAATCCAACGGCTTAGGAAGGACGTGGCATTCTTGATTGATCATGACCATTTGGGAAGTGTTTGGTCAATTTTTTTAGGCTTCGGGTCAAGGGGGGCTTAAAATAACGTGCTTGATAAGAGCTTGCAAAGAGGTATTGGGTGAATGAGTGACCAAGATTGGATGGAGACTTTATATATATAAGCAAACCCGACAGTGGGGTGAGTTGCCCACTAGAAACCAAACTAGTCCGCATATATTACATCGGGTGAGTTGTCACTAGCATCCAAACAAAACAAAACGAAGCCAGGAACATGATATAGAATAAGCAGCTAGCTCTTCACATAGCTTGGGCCACCATGTTCATATGAATTAGTTTCTTGGTTTAGTTTATTGTCCCACACTAAAAGCTTGTGTGAGTGGCTTTTTTGTACACATTAGTTGTGAAAAGGGTAATGGAGTGGCTCTAAAATTTTGTAATAGGAGTATAGGGCCCTTCTTCTAACAACTTTGGTAATACCAAAGTTTTAATAGAGGCCCTCATGAGTATAGATTGGGCATACTTGGCCAAACTCTGTTTTCTTGTTGGGTTTATTTGTAAAGTAATTGTACATTTAGTGTTGATGTATTCTAGCATTTGGTTGTACTGTGTTATTTGGAATTAGAAGATGAGTTAAAAATGTTAGGACTCGTGAGGTCAGAAGTTGGTCAATTTAGTGAGCAGTGCACGGTTACTTTAGTTGCCAAAGTAATTAAGCTTCATTTGGAGTGTAGTTGGGGATGTAAGTTGCTTCTTTTAAAGCTCGTTTATATGTCTGTGTTAGAAAACATGTATGGTGTTCAATCATGTTATTTATATTTGTATTTATGTTTGAAATAGTTTATTGTTGTGATCAACTTTATTGTGTTTAATTAATAAACAATGGGTAACTTTATGTTAGAGTTTATACGTCTCTTTTCTAAGTTATTATTCTAATGAGTCTAACCTTCAGACCTATAATGTCTTGAGGATAGACTTCAAACCCTAAAAATCATAGCATTCTCATAGGGGTTTATTACATTCTAGTGAGAGAAAGCTAGAGAGAGTTGCACTTATAGAAGAATACTCGATCTCTAATACTCCCTTCGTCTCAAAATTATTGTCTCGTTTGGTTTTCACACAGATTAAGAAAATGACACTGTAGCGACACTGTTTGTCACTGTAGCGATACTGTTTGGCATTGCAGTGACACTGTTTTGCACTGTTTGGCACTGTTTGGTATAGATTTGTTTACCAAATAAGGAAGTTTTAGAAATGGGATAATTATTTCGGGACGAACCGAAAAGAAAAGCGGGACAATAATTTTGGGACGGAGGGAGTAGCAAACATTGTTTTCGTATTCAATATACAGTTCATATCTTCTCTACTCAATTATTATCTGTGATTGTTGGATGGTTGGGATCTCACAATTGGTATCAGACCCGAGGCATGCAATTGATTGAAGTTTTCTGCATTTTTGGACTTACCATCGACGAAGAAGACCAAGCTGTTTGAAAAGCTCATTTGAAGGATTAATCAGATCTGTCATTTTGACAATTCATTCCGAATTACGGAAGATTGGGACTTAAACCCGATTCGAAACTGTCCAAAATATGTTCTAGAGAAATTGATAATATGCGTTTGCAATCTGAGGGAAGCAAGTGCGGAGCCAGGGCAATTGGTCGGGACAAAGAATATTTTTGGGGAAAAACTTACATGAAATTTTTTACCCTAGAAATATAGACATTTTTAAGATTTGGGGTGGGTCGGAGTCAGGGTCCCCCCAGCAGGGCCGGCCCAGGCCAAGTGCCAACTGTGCAACCGCACAGGGCCCGGAAATTCTGAAGGCCCAAAATTTTAATAGTCCTCCTATTATTATATAATAATTAGAGTCTAATGAGTAAAATCTCACTACTTCATTAAAAAAAATTGATGCGAAAGGGATTGGAACCCTGACAACCTTCTCACACATGCTGACATCAAACCAACTAAAACAAATGGTTGATGTTAACAATCCTTCAATTTGTGTTTTTGTATCATACAATAATTGATATAACTCATAAGATTTTAAGCCCAAAAAAGCTACACACATCCATATGTAGTGAATATCTATTATGTTAGTGAATAACTTGTATTTTGATACTTCCAAAAAAACTTGTATTTTGATAAAAAAAATATTATTGTAGCAAATTTTTACATATATTACCTCCGTCCCAATGGACTTTGCATTCCTTAAGATAGGTGGGAAATTAGAATAGTAAAAATTGTGTGATTGAAGTTTGTGCAGAGGAGACAGAAATGAGTAGAGTAGAACCAGTGGCAGATCTAGCTCTTAAGTTTTGGTTGTTCAAAACTGAAGTAAAATATCACAAGTTGTAATGCTTCAATTGTATTTATGTTTATAAAAGCTGTTACAATTTAAAGCACCACAGAATATAGTGTTCTGAATATATATTTAAAATTTCGATCATATGAAATTTCACCATTTTTACAAAGAAACTAAGCAAAAAATCAATAATCACATTCATTGCTTCCACACCAAAAGAAAATAATCATACTGCCACACCAATAAATTAACCACAAAAACTTTTCCGCACCTCATACCTATTGCTCCTCCTATTAATTATGTATGGATAATGAACATAGACTGTCAAGTACAAAGTTTGCTGACTACAAGGTGCGATTTGGAGGAGTGAGTTGCTACTCGGCTACAGGTGTTGGCTAAGCAGCGGTGAGGATTGAGGAGTTGGAAACTCTGTACGAACCAGAATTGCTAGCTCCTGCAAAGCAGGTGAGGATTGCCTAGAAATGACAGCAGGTTTTGTTCAAATTGATCAAAACGGCATATTTTGATATAAAAAATTGGAACTTTCGGGTGTTCATGTGAACACCCTTGAACAACATGAGGTCCGCCACTGAGTAGAACCACAAAATAGTTACTTTAATGAGAAAATGACAAAGTTTTTTAAGAAACCTAAAAAAGGAAAGATCACAAAGTCCAATGGGACGGAGGGAGTATAAATTTCACTTATATTATGTTTCTACCTATTTTAGAAAAAGACCACATTTTATTTTTGCACAGGGTCCGTGTTTTCTCAAGACCTGCCCTGCCCCCAGATACGCCCCCTAGCGGGAAGAAGAATAATATCACAAAGTTACTGCTCGAGAAATCTCACTGCTCATATTAGTTTACAACCTGCAGTTGCGAAAACGATACTCAGTTGCGCAAATCTACTATTCATACCACAAATCCCATTGAGAAAACCTCGCGTGAAAACTGACAAGTATCATAAAGCTACTGTTTACGATACTCAAGATTAAGATACAAAAGAAGATTTCAATACTCCACGTTTTGTGATACTCAAGGCTTTACGATACTATTGAAGTTTATAATATTAAAGACTTGTGTAAAGTTATGGTTCATATTGTAAACGATACCCAGTTGGTTAAAGTTATTGTTCATATCGAAAACAATACTCAGTTGCGTAAAGTTACTGCTCATATCGAAATCACCACTTATGTAAACCTCACAGTATTAAAAACCCCCACTTGAGCAAACCCCACACTATCAAAAACCCACAGTTAAGTAAACCGCTTAAGTATCGTTATGCCCACCTGCATTGTAAACTTAGTCTTAATTAAAAACGTTTTCACTGTTTTAGCCATAACTTGACTCGGTGGTCCGATTTAGGGCGTTAAACACTTTTCAGAAGAGGGAGAATGAGATGTACACATGTCACTGGGGTAACTCTGTGACCCTCTCCCATGCGCCCAATTTCATCGCGTTGATTAAGTATCTGCTCGCCTTTTGAAAAAGATTGTCAATCATTATTTAAGATCAAAGCCAATTGTCTTCTTCCAAAGTCAAACTAAAGGTCAAAGATATACTCTAAAGGTCCATAAACTTGTAAATACTTTAACAAACACCTCACCAAGGTCAAGAGAGTCACAAGAAGGGGACCGAACAAAAGGTTTCTGAACGGGAAGATGCACTCATAAAGCTTACACAAATAACTACGTATTGGTGGTTTTCAGAATCTGCAGAACCAAATGAGTCAGCTTGCAAAGGCTCAATTTGAGAGGCCTAAGGAATCCCTCCTTAGCAACACCAAAAATAATCCAAGAGAAGTGGAAGGGAGCTTGAGCCAGCTGCACAAACACAAAAGCTCACAGCAGGCGAGTCCAAAGGAGTAGACCTCGAGGAAGAAAATGAGGAAGAAGATAGGAGAGAGGTGGAGACAGCCCCAAAACAGCATGTTCCGGTCAAAGCTTATTGTTGTTCATCTCTCCCTTTTCTGGCATGTTTGAAGAGAATGAGTGACAATGATCAGTTTGATAAGTTTTTGAACCTCATTAAACAAGTCCAAATACCAAAGTATGTGAAGTTTATGAAAGAACTTCTAGCAAACAAGAGAAAAATGCATAATGATGCAAACAAGAGAATGATGCAGAATGTTTAGAATATTTCTCAGTGTTTACTATTTTAATGCTTTATATTATATACGAATATAAAATTTGTGCATCGAAAAACTAAGAACTATTTTGTTACACTACAAAAAAACACGCCGTTTGTCACGGATTTTGTCACGGACGGTAGTTCAAAAAATCTGTGACAAATGATTTTTTGTCACGGATTTGTCACGGAAAAAATCCGTGACACCAGGGGCGTGATAACTACTTGGACTTTAAGAACTATTTTGTTAAACTTTAAGACAAATTTCCTGGATCTATCACTACTTACAAACATAAACTTATTCTTCATTCATCTCAAGAGGTAAAATCCAACTTTAGAAGGTTTTCCCATGTTTTGTAAAAATAAACTAAATAAAAGATAAAAATGAGAAATTTAGATCTCATATGTAAAGAAATTTTAAATTTACCATCAAGACTTCACGGTCATAATATTACTGATCCTTTATAAAATTTCCAATTAATTAGACTATTGGATCTGATCTATTAGACCACTGTGATTTGACCCATTAAAGTGTAATCTGATCTAGTCTAGTCTAACATGATACATTTAAGTCTAAAGCTCTAGTTTGGTCTGAGTTTAACCCTAACACTACTTATAATCTATGTATTTTTTCATCTTCTCTAATAAAACCTGGCAAATGTCCCCGGGCATTTGCCCCAATGATTTTGGTGGTT